CCTTCTCCCTCACTTCCCTGTGACCCCAGTATCCACACTCCCTTCTCCCTCACGCTGCTGTGACCCCAGTATACAGACTCCCTTCTCCCTCACACTCACTGTCCTGCAAACGAAGAAAAATACTCAAATCACAGAATTAAATTATTCCCATCTTCAAGAAATGGCTTAGAAATATAAATTCACATTTGGAAAATGGGAAATCACCCCGAAAGTGCAAGAAGTCTGTTAAAATTCTTATCCACATGTGTTAAGATTTAAATATCTTTCCAGAATCCAGGTCAAATTCCGAGATTCCTGTGCTAGTGTGATGAGAGGAGAGTTGCACCTAAAAACAACACACACTGCTCTTCTTAATGTTGTTTTGGACAAAGATAGTGCTTATTTTTTAATTAAATCTCTGCAGTTGAAATGTGTTTGTTTGCTTGGCTGGTAATTCAAGCTTTTGACTTTCCTGTAAAAGTTTCGTCACCCTCAAACTCTCCATACTGATCCGCATAACCACACGTCCACTCTCCAATCCGGAGGAAGGGCATGCTGAGCGGATTCCTCATGAAAACCATAGGGGCTTTTTCAAACGCTTTATGGGCTGCCTGTGAAGACTTAGCTTCTCGAGTCCTGCGGAGCCTTTCAGAGCCTTTCATAAAGCCCTTTAATTTCAACCCTCAGATTTCTCTTGGGCAATAAAGCGAGAAATTCACCCTCAACTCCATGTCTAAAATTTACTGTGAAAAAAAAACGGTTTCCTGTCTCGATCCTGACAACCCTGCAGCAGTGCTGAGTAGAAATGGCTGTCTCTGGGTTGTATGAGCCACCTTTTCACCATCAGTGACTGAGACTGATCTGAGAACGATCACAAACTGAAAAGGACATTTTATTAATCTGTACATTTACCTTTGGCGGTCAAGCCACCTGCTGTGGTTTCTTAAGGTTAAACTCTTCCAGAAGCCTAATATTATGTAAATGACCTTGTATATGCTACTCTGCATACACGAAGTGCTGCACAGACCGGTGCTCATCAAACACAATGCTTAAGTGTCACGACCACCAGCCAGCAGAGATCAACGCGTAAGCGAGCTGATCAGTACCAGCAGCGGATTACTATTGAC